AAAGGAGTGCGTCGTTTATCACAAGTTGGCGTCTCGGGACACAAGCGTGCAAAAAGCAATGGTAGACCGAACGACGAATCAAAACCTGCAATAGAAATTGGACCAGATTCGACTTCAACCACGGTTATTTCGACTTTACTCCCTCCCGTCGAACTTAATTCACCCATATTGCCTACGACGATCTTTTCCCGCAGGGGTTCATTGGGGAGAACAGAATTCTCTTATGTATTACCTATTAATGGGCACGACCAACCTGCATATACATTCGCTCCCAATCTACCATTGGAGAATACGCTTAGTATGGAGCGAATGTCATTTTCGTCTTCGCGTGCTCCGTCAAGACTTGAGCTAATGGCCGATAAGCCGCCAACAGGATCACCCCCACGTCCTAAGCCAAGTCGTCGAGAAACCTCACCTCTACCTGTTCCTCCATCTCCAGTAAAACAAATCTTTAAGCCCGAATCTGTGACTCCCAGCAAACGGCCTGGTTCCTCGGCATCTACGCGTCGTCCTGGCTCTTCGTCTTCATCTACCCCCTGTATCTTCTCAAGCTCAAGCACTTGCTGCCCAATCATTCAGACCGAGAACCCCGATTCGGAATTCGCCAACTTCAAATACGATGTCATCCTCCGCAAGGCCACGAACACCGAATAAGCTTCAAACTGCAGCAGCTAATTTGCAACAACATAGTACTGCGCCTTCTGCCTATACAGCATCTCTAGGTCGTACGGCAACTCCGCCCCAAGTGGCGAAACCTTCACTTAAACGTAATTCTCTCAACGATTTGAAAGCAGCCCCCAATAATAGTCCTAAAACAACCTTAGCGCCTTCTGAGGAACACTTAAATGGGGGCGTTCAAGAACATAAGTCTTTGGATCAGCGACGTGCTTCTACCAATACGCTAGGCGAACTGAAAATACCTGCTAGAATATTCAAAGCACAACAAGGATTACGACGAGATTTAGGGATGGTGCGGGAGTTTGCGGGATATGTAGAACGTGAGTTTTATCTTGGATCCATTTCATTTCAGATGTATATAGTTACAACGTCCTCAGAATTGAAACGGCTACAGAACACCTACATGAAGCTTATAGAAGCGTTGTGTGTTGCCTATGATTCATATCCCATACAACACGTTACATCCCGTCCTCCTTCTCAGATGGGCTTAGTTCGAAAAGGGCTCACTGCAAATTCTAATGCTTCAACACAAAGTATTCCACAGATTCCTTGCAGCAGCCGACCAGCATGTTACTTAATTCCCCCACCAAAGCTCAGGCGACACGCAGTTTTTCTAGAGCGTCGGGCGACCTAAATCGTGAACTGGCGCGTTTAGAACAAGACTATGGATTGTGGTGGGAGTGTGCTGAGCTACTAGTTGAACTAGGTGGAGGTTCATCGTCGATGGTCGCTGCGGTGTCATCGAATCCTAATCTTACTTCCCATTCTTCCTCTTCTGCTCTATCAACCAACACAACTTACGACGATCCTCCGCTTCAGATGTCCAAACGACAATCAAGGTCCGGTACTCATACACCGTCCATGTCAGATCCTGGTACTGTCTTCAGTAATCTGACTTCATCAGACTCTAGCAGGGTGCTCTTAGAAGCTAGTCCACCGCAAAACCACTCGCGGTCATCGACCGGTAGACATGATTTAAGTGCTAGACAGTTGAGGCTGCTACGCGACATGCTCAATACACCCGATCCTTCAGCCTTACCGGACAATCCTGCCTATACGCACGTATCTGGATTGTTGCCTTCATCATCATCACATCCATATCTTAGCGCAGATCGCCACGCATGGAACGGGAACAACCCTAGTGCCCTAACCCTGCGTTCGGACGAAAGCTCTGCCGAGCATATTGGCGACATGATTATTGAAAGAACCAAGGAAAAGAAGAGAAGACTTGGAATAATTGATTTTCTACGGGCTGTCAAGAAAGCAGCTATCGCGGAAGGACGGCTCGCACCTCGTTCTGAGTCTAGTTTGAGCAGTCATACAGATGCTGACGATGACCACTATAATCGTCGTAAATCGCCTTGGCACCAGCATGATGTTCACCATGCTCACGAACAAATACCACATCCAGCTCCGAAAAGCCCCAGTAGACCTTCTCTTGCGTCCATATTCCGTATCGGAGGAAAGGATAAAAGTTCCAAGACACCAAAGAGCGAAAGCTTTACAAAGACCAAAGGACAAGCTTTGAGGACCGATCGAAAAGTTTCAGCTGAGAGTAGTGGTGTTGGAGATGCAGACGATGAGTATGGGGATGCGATGAATGGGAAAGGATGTCCCAGAGCGAGGTTGATCTTACAAATATTGGCTCTGGCACGGGTACCGTTCGAGGTCGTAAATCTAGCAAAAAACCTAGCGAACACCCTTATCCTGACTATGATGCAGTAACGCCCAAAAAGCACCAGCTGGGTCACGGACTTCTTTACTTGAAACGACTACCGCTATGCCTCCATTTATACCTACTGAGTTGGCTTCCAAAAAGTCCAAACATAAACTTCGAACATCCTCGTGGTCCCAAACACATTTGATATCTAAATCATCCTTTAACGGCAAAATTCCCATGTCTGGAACCGTACGCTCAGCACCTCCCCGCGGATCTCAATCTTCCTGATCCAAAACTAACATTATCCCCCGAAAATATCAAGCCACTCCTTGAATATGCTAAAGAAGTTAGTACCCGCCTTAATGATTGTATTGTTGAAGTGCAGTCATTGCTTGGACAACGTCCATGACTTACCCCCGCTTCATTTGATCGTAGATTGCTTTCTCTTTTGTTCATCTCATTGCTATTTTGCTGTCAGTCTTTTTTCGCACTGTATTTTCACGCATCGATGATTTCACGAAATAATGGATCATGCATGTTATCAAATTTTAATGGAAAATGTCAACATGGTATTCGTTGAGACACGAACAAGCCGCCACATGTGCTTTCTATGCTTTCTGGTGAGTATTAACTTCTCAAGCCTAGGAACAACGTTATACTGTTGCGAAGTTGAAATGTAGCTCCCTAAGTTCACTATGCTTACTTTTGTAAGTCATAGCACTTTGAAGCAAAACACAGTATTCCGCTAACACTGAACACTCGCCTTCAACTACCGTGAGGAACCTGTTGACCCTCCTTGTGTAGAGTATTTGTCGTATTATTCCACAATTGCTGTTGACATTCACGGCCAGTAAATGTGTGGACGTGATTCTTTTTACAGTAATATGACTATCATGATGATGTTCTGTGAAATTGACCAGTAAGTAGTATTAATATACGAGAAAAATGACATCGCAAAGGAAGGATCTTGGACGAGGGGAAAGGGTAATTGGTCACGCTGTCTGTCACACAGCCCCGAGTATTTGGATTCACCGTGTTTGATCCATGTTGGAATCGGGGGTAGGTTCTCCGAGGTCTGAAAATTAATACAGCGAAGGGTTATTATATAGACGATATGTTGGCTGCCGCCATGCAACATGAGGCTTGCCAGCAGCGACAGTCTCTTACTTACAACACTCATTTATCCCCTAATCCTCTGAAACATATCCATATCCGATGTTTTTCAGTTACCCTCAATGGTTGGGACAGGCTCCTGATCCATCGATGACAATTCCTCCTCAACCTATATTCAAATCTACGAGTTGGACGAGACCAGAGAGAAGAAGAAAAACTCCGAGCGTGGCTGAAACTGCAACCTCTTCTGCTGACACAACGTCCCTCGACAGTAACACCAGCAGTCATCGTTCTACACACACGTAGATAGTTCTCCAAAACCAAGCTGGCAAGAAGCAGATTCGAAGACAGATAGCGATAGCCATTCTAACGGTACCTCCATTACCGAAGAGTATATTTATCCTTCAGAAACATTCACATCCCCTAAGCCAACGCCATGGTCCGAGGACAATCTTCCAAATAACCAAGAATATTTCTCGGCTGGACAACCCTTCGAGCCAGAGGCTGCTGCTGGACAACCTCCCGCGTATCAGGAAACCGAAACATACTTCCATCGCTTCTCAGATTTCTATCCCGCTTACGTTCATCTCCCCCCGTTAAATTATGTTCACCTAGAACATTATTCCATACCCTTTCCTAAACCAGAATTTTTCTTTCATGGATGGTGTGACAATGTTATGAACGAGTGCCAAAAAGATTTCGACATCCACAAAAAATTCAGGAGACAATCCACAAAGGAGAGCCACTTGAGTTCTCCTCCTTTTACCACTTCCAAATCGAAAGAAACCTCACGCGTGCCACCACCTAAAGAGGAGACACCTCCGGAGGAAAGCACCAGAAATGATCAGAAAATCTCCCAAGCTTGGCACATATTCATTCACATTTTTCACTCAACGCGAGACGTCCCCCACCACTGAACTGAACCGGGAGCTCAAGAATATGTCTAGTCTGGATACCTTAAAGTCGAGGTCGACAACAGCGACAAGGGCCTCAAGGAAACCGTTCGTATATACAAAACCTTTGACTCTCAAGGATGCTTTGGCGCAATACGAGAAACATTGGGAGATCCTTTCAGAATCTAATTCCTCTGTTACATGGAATTTTCACACTATTCCCTGGCCTCAATTTCCCCACCATTATCCATTGAGGATATCAACGCACGACGAATCAGACGATTTTTGTTGACGGGGAATGTAAATACGAAGGTGAGCATCTACTACCTAGATCCCCCCCCTCTTTGAGATTTATATTTGGCAGGCCTTATTACGGAAAGCTCTTCTTCGATTCCACCCGGACAAGATTCCGAAATTGTTGTTGAACGTGGAAGAAAAAGACAAAGACCAAGTTTCTCAAGGATGTATGACAGTTGCGAAGTGTTTGAACGAAATTAAGGGAACTCTGTGATGATAAATATGGTACGGTTGATAATATTTTGGTCAGTATTTGTAAATGATGTAATTATACCATACCTTTTGTTTCGATTAACCATGGATCCGTGGATTGAAGCTTGATAGTTGGTCTTGTAGGCAAGTGACGCGATCAATGACGTGGCTTGGTAGTCTAGTGGTCTATGATTCCCGCTTTGGGGTGCGGGGGGTCCCGAGTTCAAATCTCGGCCAAGCCCTTTTTCCCTCCATACACTCAAACATTTTATTCCAGTTTTAAGAGCAGCGGGTTATTTTTTAAATGTGCTCCAAAGTTTATTCCTCCCTTGCATCAGATCACGAGGTATGAATTGGTGCTTTTTTCGCTTATGTATGTGATGATACAGTAGAGTCCGTCTAGTGACTTTGATTTTGGCTTGTTGATTGCTTTCAATCTGACTTGGGTAATGAACCTAACGGTACTAAATTATATCCCGTCCGATAATGGTACTGTTCCTCAACCTCAGCAGGTGCCTAAAGCGACATGGATTATATCCTTGTATTTTCATCCCAGCTGTAATTGTTTTTATTTTTTCAACGATTATGCTGTTGAAAAATTGTTTGGATTTTAAAAAAATGTATTTGGTTAAATTATTCAACCACGGTAGCTTATTAGTCCCTCCAGCTATAAATCGTTATAAATATATGTTTTCTTTCTTTCAATATCTCTTTGATTTACTCCTATCTTCCTTCTATGAGTAAATATTAATCTCGCCCCCATTTTTTTAATAAACACTTCTCCAAGCTACCTGTAAATTTATTTCTCCCTTCTCTTCATCCACTACACTAATATCCGTCGACGAGAAGTATATCACAGCTGATCGATGATGACATTCAGTTCGGGAACCGAAACAGTATTTAGTATATCATTTTTCCTGCAAGGGACACCACCTCGATATCTTCCAAGCCGACCCACTCACCTCAATACACTCAGCCATTCAACAAGCTGTTGTGCTCAAAAACACAGGTATTTTTGAGTGAGGTATGTTATTAAAAAACTCGTTTATTTATTTAATCAGTACTGCAGAGAGGCAGTACACGGTGGTCCCAAGTATCCCAAGTATATACGCGAGTCAAACATTTTTTTTCCAGGAATCACTTTGTTCGCTTTCATTGCGAAGAACTCAAAACTCCCGAACCCCCTCTTAAAATAAGGTATTTCTCAAAGATATAAGTTTGTTAATGATACAATTTTGGGTCTCCATCAACACTTTTTGGGGAACCCTATCCGGCTAGTTTCAAGAACCACTGGGGATGGTGAATATGCCATATATGTCATGTTGACATATTGTATTCAACTCGGCCTTTAAACAAGCTGCATATGAGGAATATGACAGGATGACAGATCAGAACCTGGCACTATTCTGCATTACATTACTCCTGTTCAAGAATTTACAACCATTCTATCGATCGGCGAGGTTTAGTTGGGAACACATTTGATCTCAATAACTCTTTCAAAAGCACGTTAATCAGGACAGAGTCGACAATCCGTATAAGGAAGGTAAGGTCATAAGGTCTCAGGACAATCATTCAATGTGATAGCAAATGGAGCAAGATTGAATGAAGTCTTGGGTTGTTCAGTATTCTTCCACAAGATAACATATTCAGCTTCAGAGGGTGAACAAGGTTCATCAATATTGACAGCAAGCAGTACGACGCCTCGACCAGTTCCCGCCCTACGTGTTATCAGTTGACTATCCCATCAGCCTGCAATGTCATAGGTAACACATACAAATTGGTCCAATATGTCTCCAGATATTTCAAATGCATTTTTGCCTCCAACAACGCAGCTTGAAGGTTGAAAACATATTTGTCTGTGATACGATGATTTATTTGGATGGAACAAACCAGTTATAAGCGGGACACCCCAGGACGGAAGATACATTTTGATTTCACCATAATGATCAATTGTAGTATTGTCAAACCAGATATGTATGTTGTCATTTTTTTCCACGCAAAATGCTCACAACATCATCGTTGGGATCATGTAACATCCGCACAACCAGACCCTGAGAAGGGAGAAGAAAAAATTAAGCTACTTCAAGTCGGGCTTCTCTCAGCAGGAACCACAGAGAAGTCCCCTTTGCATATGCAATGTACACTGACACTAGTCAAATTGGATGGGAGCAGAGTTCCGCATTCAAGAGGACATTGTGCCGATCCATTGATACAGATTTTGTAGGAGTGTGGTGGTATATATATTTACGTCACTCTAATGACTTGGATGCTATGACACTTGACCAAGAAGCAATATTGTATATTCTCTAGGGTTTTTGCTCGGGAACTACCGCTCTGTTCCTTTAAGCCGTCGATAAAGGATCGTCCGGGTGGAACATCGTGTGGCTTTCGATGTTAATTGCTTTTGCGTCAAAGTTAAAGAACCCTGAAGAATATCTTCAAAGAAAGGGACGGCCCGAGGAAGAATGTGCGCTTGAAACGGATTGTTTGAGGTTTGGTTTGCCCCGGATCACATCAGTATATTGTTTTTCAATTATCTCTTGGGCGGGCGTGAAGTTTCCTAAATAACTAAGAGCAGATGTGGGTGATGTTATGACACCGCCACTCCACATTCGCTTTCGCGTTGTTCTTTGCGATGGATGATCCGTCTGGCAAATACGTGAATACGTTCTGTCTTGAGCATCTTAAAGAGGTCGGCTTGAGCCTGTTTTATCCTGAATTTTTCTAACGCACATTTAAATTTAGGGCCTGTTTCATCACAAAGTTTTTGGATGGTTTCACGAGCGAGACTATACTAGTAACATCCAGGATACGTCTCTGTTCAATACAGAAGTAAACAAAATCACTGTGAATTCAGATGTTATATAACCCAATAGGTGATGATTTATGGTTTATCCCAATATAGTGGCTTCTCGAATTATTTATTACCCGGGCGTTTTACCTTCATCCGCCGCCTGGTAAGGCAACTGATTGCGGTAGGCTCAATCATTTCGGTAAGCAGAGCAAGCTGGGTCTTATGTGATCCAACTGTAAGATTTACGAGGAATCTTTATTTCGAAGTTTAGAATATGGCCCACCATATTTTACTACGCATTAAGAACAACCCCGGTGGTTCGTCTGGTGAGATTTATTCTCTACACAGCATTTATTTGGACTCGCTGAGGATAAGGTTCCTTGTCTGCAGCAAATAAATTCCTATAAACTGTACAATATAAGTAAGTAAGATGGTACGGTGTTATTATCGTCACATCATTTAGTGATATAAGCCCTTTCTTTCCGATTCAGAGTCGTTCGTTGGTCATACGCAACTGGAGCAGTCGAGCAAGTTTTTACATCTCTTTGGAGTATTTAATTAAAGTAAATTAAATATAAAATATGCTGCTTTAGCTCTGGATGAAACCAAAACTTGGCGAAGATCTCTTCACACCGGAGTCAGCACCCTGCACAATGACTTTTTTTCCACCACAAACTTTGTTCAATTGCAGCGCACTATTTCATCCACATCTCAACAATTTTATCGTATTTTATACTCTCCGAAAAATCAATTACGAAATAACATGGCCGAGACATGTCATTCATGACACTTAAAAACGGCCCCAAAGTACTGTACCACAACTATGACATCATAATGGAGTTTCATATAAACAAGAGCTACGCTATGACCGCCAGCTACACCCATTGAACGCTCAATTCAACTTTATCCAGATAATATTTCCTGCTACATTCTCACCTATTATTACACTTTTTCTGAATGACAAAAGGAACCGCTATCCATTTCGGAGCTGGTAATATTGGACGCGGTTTTATAGGACCCCTTCTAGTTGAGGCAGGCTACCACGTTATTTTTGCGGATGTCAACGACACCCTCATTAACAGCCTCAATAATCGCCAAGAGTATCAGGTTCATTTTCTTGAACCGAGGAAACGGCGACCTATGACTGTTTCTAATTACTCTGGTATCCTCAGTACCAATGATTCCCTGATCAAAGCTTTCGCAAATGACGAGATGAGAATAGTGACCACGTCTGTCGGGATCGCAGTTCTCCCAAAAATTGCTCCTGCCATTGCTAAAGGAATTGCGGCGCGTCGTAAAGCTGGAACGAAAGCTGCCTTAAATATTATTGCTTGCGAAAATGGTATTGGAGCGACGGAGCAACTAAAGGAGGCCCTACTCGAAGATTTGTCGAAAGAAGATAAACAATACGTTGAGAAGTATATCGGGTTTGCAAACTGTGCGGTTGACCGAATTGTACCACCGTTTGAGAATCAGTCTTCGCCACTCGATGTAGGGGTGGAGTCATTTTATGGCAAGTGTTTTTTATTGCTGCGCCCCACACATTTCTGATGAAAGCAATATCAAATAGAGTGGAGCGTAGATAGAAAATCCCTAAAAGGAATTGGTGAACGCGAAACCTTGGGTATCCGAGGTATGCATTTAACAGACGACTTGCTCGGCTTCGTTGAACGCAAGTTGTTCACGCTGAATTGCGGACACGCTATCGCAGCCTACCTTGGTTACCTAAAACAGTGCGACACAGTTTTTGACAGTATAAAGCACAAGGAGATATCGCAGATGGTAGAAGATGCCATGAACGAAAGCAGTGCAGCGTTAGTGAAGAAACATCCGATATTCACTGAAAAAGAGCAAAGGGAGTACATTGAGATGTGCTTGGACCGGTTCGCAAATCCCAACGTAGGTGACGATGTGCAGCGCGTCGGAAGAGATCCCTTGAGGAAGCTGTCGCAGAATGACCGATTGTTGGGTCCTATTTCTATGGCTCAAGAATATAGTCTCCCAATTACCAATTTATGCTACGGAGTAGCAGCAGCTTTGCTGTATGATTATCAAGACGATCCACAGGCTGTCGAACTCCAGGAGAAGGTGGACGATTTAGGCATTGTGGGAACTATCACCAATATCACAGACTTTAAACAAGATTGCAACGAGTTCAAGGCGATTTTGACGGCATATCATAAACTACAAAAAATGGAGGAGTTAGTGAATTATTGAATTATTATATGTACTACTGCAACGTAAAAACTCACATTAGAAGTATTGTAATGTAATTGTATTCAATTCAGGATAAATACCAACACCGAACATGATAAGAATTATATTAAAAAATCGGTTGTTATCGACTTCCTAAGCCTTTAAGCCTAAAAAACTCTTTGGCATATCGGGGGGTCAAAGTCGTCGTTGGGACATTAAAGAGCAAGTAGGGGTTCGCAGGAGAAATGCGCC